AAAAAGTTCCACTGCTAGAATATTTTGCAGAGGCATCTCGTGCTTCTTCGTGATTGTTCTGGTTCTTTGGCATCTGTCACACTTCTTACCAAAGGCATGTGCATCCTTACACAATTTTGGCCAATAAAAACCTGATTGTAGCACTTTTGGGTGGTTCTATCCCCACCGTGATGACCTCCGCATGGAGAAGCATGGTAGTTATGTAGTATTGCATTCATCTCCTCCTCAGGGACACATCTTCGCACCAACTGATCTATGCACTACCTATATAAGAATGGCTCATCCCACATGTAGAGTCTCACATCATATAGGAATCTTCTTCTATTATCGGGTGTCGATTCTGGTAGTGTCACCCCACTTGCAATAAAATTCACATAGTCTGCATACCACGGGGCTTCACTTGAGGTAATGGCTAATAACTGCTCATCAGGAAATGTTTCTTTGATTGACCCTCCTTCAGCTATATGGCTCTGATTTTCTAATCTGGACAAGTGATCAGCCACTTGATTCTTTGTCCATTTTCGATCTTAGATATCTATGTCAAACTCTTGCAAGAGGAGGATCCAACGAATCAGCCTCGGCTTGGCGTCTTTATTTTCAAACAAGTATCTGATAGCTGAATGATCTGTGTAAACGATGACTTTGGTTCACACTAGATAGGATCTGAACTTGTCAAACGCCCACACCACCACAAGCAACTCTTTTTCAGTAACTGTGTAGTTTATCTGGGTTGGATTCAGAGTTTTGCTCACATAGTAAATAGAGCAAAAGATTTTATTTCTTATTTCCCCCAAAATAGCTCTGATTGCTTTGTCACTCGCATCGCACATCAACTCAAATGGCTGCTCTCAATCCAGAGCAATGATAATTGGTGCAGTCATCAGCCTTCCCTTCATCTCCTCAAATGTTTTCAGACAGGCATCATCAAACTTGAAGGGGACATTTTTCTCAAGAAGCCTGCACAAAGGAGAAGAAATTTTTGATTTTTTTAATGAAACGACGATAAAAACCCGCATAGCCCAAAAAACTGCGAATGCCTTTGACGGATGTCGGTGGGGGCAATTTTTCAATCGCCTCCACCTTCGCTTTGTCCACCTACAAACCGCTTTTGGACACCTTGTGCCCCAGGACTATACCTTCAAGTACCATGAAATAACACTTTTTCCAGTTTAGTACCAGGTTCGTCTCTTCACATAGGCAACGATGCCAAAAACTTGTTGCGACCAAACACACTCAAGCAAGTATACGTGGTCATCAAGTAATAGAGTATTGAGTAGAGTATCGTTCCCACGAAGACTTGTGATTAACTATTGACTGATTCAAACTCAATTAACTTATCGATTCAAGAGATTTCTCACAAAATATAGAAGTGACTAATTTACTACCTAAAATTATCAAGCAACGAATTAACTAGAAATCAACCGAAACAAATAGCAATTTCAAATAACAATCAGTAGGAGATGATATTCTAGGGTCACGGGTTAGCTAACAATCATGTTGCGTTCTTGGCTTAAAATGACTAATTGATTTATCTGGATTGTTGATTGACAGGGTTGATATTACTCATAAGAATCTGTCGAGTCCTTACTCGCCTATTCAAGTTAACTTAATGCATATATGTCTATGGAATTAAGATTAACAAGAATGCATTTATAATTCCTGTATTTCAATCAAGCAAGGCAATTAGGTATATGTCTATCCGAATTGCGAATCTGTTCCCCGATGCTTAGGTTCAAGAACTTGATTTTTTTAATTCTATATGCAATCTAGAGTTTCCACTTTTGAGTTCAACGCTAGATTCGTAGATAGTATTTCACTGTTAGCTACTCGTCAAAATAATTAAAAACCGAATTAAATAAACAACCCAATATGATAAAATTAACTTTGTCAAATTAAACTTCAAACATCAATATTCATGTTTCACCTATGACCCTAGAACAATAGGGTTCTTAGCCACTCATGTTCATACAATCATCAAAAATAAGGTTTTCAAACATAAAATCAATGAGTACTAGAGACGGGATGGAAGAATTGATCAAATTCGTGCTCCCGAGTGTTTGGCTCTTTTTTCCTCTTCTCAAAGTCACGTTCCCCCCTTCAAAATAAGTTTAGGTTGGCTTTTATATCAGTTGGGGGCATCTTGGGGTTAAAATAACCGAGTCCTAGTCGAAACAGGACATCTTTGCATTCCGTGCGTCCAGGGCAACGTGAGGCGCTGGCCCTGACGCCTAAAATATTTAGCATTCTGTAAATTACGCCACAGCCAGCACACTGGCTGTGGCCCTCAAATTTCACTTTTTGCTTTTTCTTTCTAATTTCGCTCCAATTCGTGCCATTTCGTCCCAAATTGCATCTGAATAATTCCTACACATAGAAATACTACAAATGAGCACAAATCATCATATTATACATCTCAAATTTTTTAGACATAAGCAAAATTCGAGGCTATATATATCAAAATATGCATATATTAAGCCAATTATCAAATATGTTTGTGCAATACTAGAGAATGTGCTAATTGATTTACAATTAAGATGACACCTATTAAATTTTTTCAAGATCTACTCTACGAAAGGAAAGTCAATCAATTTATATAAGTCACTCTAACAGAGACTAGAGGTGGCATATGGCTAGCGCTGGATGTGCTTCACAATGGTGATTGTGCGATAATGATTATTGGTGATGATTAAGAGTGGCAAACGGGCGGGTCGGATATGGTTCGAATCGAAAATGGGTAATGAAAAAATGGATCAACTATCCGACCCGACCCATATTTAATACGGATAAAAAATGGATTAACTTGAGGAACCTCCAATTTGAGGCTTTAGAAATATAAAAGTTAGACTCATTGGTTACTCATTGGTTATCTATTTTCTAAATGGATAATATGGTTCTTATCCATATTTGACTCATTTTTAAAAAGTTCATTATACAACTTATTTTTTAGTGGATAATATAAGTGATTAATTGTTTTCTTTTAATCATTTTGTCACCCTAGCGACGATAGTTGACAAAGATAATTGTGCAATGAAGGTTATTGGTGGTCGTCTAGTGATGGTAGTATACCACTGAAAGTAAACCTCTCTAATTCGGTCTATGTCTGCGTTGCTGACGTGCTCAAATGCGAGGGGTTTTAAAAGTGGATCCGATGGACCTGAGACTAAAGAAGCAATGGGTGCATTCAATTAGTTTTATGGGTCACAAAGGAGAAGTTCTTTCTAACTTGACTATTTACCTCACTATTAATTTAGAGGGCATTCTAAAAATATTTGCGATCGAGTAAATAGTTCTATGAATGAATTGATCGAATCGATTTCGAAGTGAAAAATGCGTTATAATCAAATTTAAGTAATTTCCTCATGATTTACCTTAGTGGTTAAATTTTGTTGCGATTGCTCATGTTTGTACATCATGATATTAGTACAATGGTACTGCGCGTTTACCCGTAAAATAATACAGTTGAATTTATATGTGATTTTTAGGGTACAATGGTACCGCGCTTTACCCGTAAAATGGTACAGTTAAATTTATATGTGATTTTTAGACAAGTAAATTAATTCGATCCTGAAACAATAAGACAATTGAAGAAATGCATAACACTTAGTCTTGATATGAAAACCGAGCACCGAAAGTGGTGATTTCGGGTGCAACAATGATAAGAGCAGAAAATATGAAGATAAAATTATATGTAGCTTTGAGTAGATTGTAGCACTAGTTTGCCAGAAAATCCGTCTCTTACAATGATAGTTGAGCTCACTATTTGTAGCTATACCTAGGGACAAGGTCCTGGGATTGTGCTCTTCTTTAATTTCAATTATGAGGGTCATTGATATAGATATAATGGTGAGTATAAATGACAAATTTTTTGTAACGGACAGCGTACTTAATGCTGCAAACTATTCTTCATTAATGTCATGGGGCGGAGGGTACTTATTGCTTCTTTATGAATATCATTTCTTCGGATATCAGAAGGGATAATTGTCCTCGGTTTCACGTATTATTCTTTTAAGCGGCTACCTGGCATAGCATATTTTAGCCTATGCATTGTGTACTTTTGTCAGTGAAACTACGAACTTATTAGTGGAATTAGCTATTGAGTGATATATGCATAGGTAGATTGAAAACGATGTAAAGGAAATACTGAAATGATTTCGGAATTACATTTTACTGACTTTAATATTTGTGTCGACTGTAGTAAAAGAAAACAAATTAGACACAAAGGAAAGAAACCAGAAAAAGTACAAAAATTTCTTGGTTATATATATATACTCTCTTTGATGATGTGTACCTTTTGATAATGTATGCTCTCTTTGATGATTTTTCACGTTATGAATATGTTTATTTATTGCATGAAAGAAAATCAGTAGAAGAGGTTCTAGAAGTGTTTCCAAATGAGATTGAAAGAATATTAAAATTAATCAAGTTGAATAGATATCGTGAGTAATATGAAAGGTATTATAATGAAGCTGGTATGGTCAAGAGTACGTTAAATATACCACAATAAAATGGTGAGACGGACAGTTGCAAAAATACCTTCTAGGTATGGTTAAGAGTACGTTAAGCAATTCATATTATTTTTTACCGTAAAAATAAATTTTTTTATACAGTCCAATTAGATAATGTATATACATCATTCATGCCATATATACAAATAGAGGTTAGTTAATTAATTAATACAAAAGTGAATTCATTCCGTCAACTCAAATTATGAAAGACTTTGTAAATGAGTGATTTATGCATGCATGCAAATGTAAGGGTTAGAGACATTCACTCCAATTCACAAGCTTCAGAACACTTCACCTCCATCAACTTCACTATATATAACCCTCCATTTTTTTCCTTTTTCATAAGTTCGAGGTGGTTGTTTTTATCTAGGAAGAAACATAACAAAAAAAAAATCTCATTTTTGCTGGTATAAAAAAACCAAAAATAAATAAATATATTTTGTATCTTTTTTCCTTATTTCTTTCTTTCTTTGGCTTTGATCATTGCCGGCAAAAATGAATCGTTCCATTGTTACCCTTCTCTGTTACTTCCTTCTACTAGCCTCCTCAGCCTCAGCTTTTAATATCACAAAAATTCTAAGCCAATTTTCTGATTATAGCACTTTTAATGACCTTCTTTCTAAATCTGGCTTAGCCACTGAAATTAACAAAAGGACCACAATTACAATTTTGGCCGTTCCAAATGGTGCAATTGGTGATCTTACCTCAAAATCAGATGATGTTCTCAATAGTGTTTTATCAACCTATGTTGTATTAGATTACTACGACATCCCGAAACTCAAAAGCTTAAAGGACAAAACTGCAAAAATGACAACAATGTACCAACAATCTGGTAAAGCAAGATTTGACCAAGGTTTCTTGAATATGACAGCTAAAGATGGTAGTTTTGTATTTGGATCAGCTGTCAAAGACGCTCAACGCGATTCAAGGCTCGAAAAATCTGTTATGAATCAGCCTTATAACATCTCAGTTCTTGGAATTTCTCAGCCATTTGTTACACCTGGACTTGATGGAACACTTGCACCAGTTTCAACACCACCACCTAAGGCTAATAATGCAACATCTTCACCTAAGAGTTCACCACCTGCTTCTGATGATGAAGCAGAGTCCCCTGCTGAAGAAGCAGAGTCCCCTGTTTCTGAAGAAACAGAGGCCCTTGCTCCTTCTAAGGATGCCGATACTTCGGCTAGTTCGCCCTCGGCTGATTCGCCACCGGCTGACGCTCAGGCGCCACCACCGGCAGGATCATCTGCTGGGAAATTGAAGGTTTCCTTTGGTTCGTTTGTTGTTTTGGCATCAATGGTTGCAGCTTTTTAAAAAGGGAGTTTTGTGAGGATGTCCAAGATTCTTGGATTGTAGAGAGGAAAAAATAAATGATGGAGTACATCTTATGTACAAGACTTTTAGATGTTAAAACAATATGATTTTCGAAATATATAAGAAGTGTATACCTTTATCCATAGATGATCTCTCTTTACGTTGTAATAACAACAACAATAATAAATACAGCGAAATCTCACAAATAAAATCTGGGAAGAATAGTGAGTTCGTAGACCTTATATCCTAGGAAGGTAGAGGCTGTTATGCTGAACAACAATAGTCTTTTCATCTTGCTCTCTTCTTTATTCCTTTAGTTAATTATATGTGAGGAAACGTAATATTCCCTCCGTTAGTCTCATTTTATGTGATCATATTTGATTGGAAACATAGCGAAGCAAGAAATAAATATTTTCAAATTCATTTATGATTTAAAACAAGCCAGATATTTGTGTGTTATATTTTTCTAAATATGCCAAGAAATAACTATAGATTATCTTATCAAGCGTAAAATAAGAATGTTAAGATTAAGCTGTTTCTAAATATAAAAATGTGTTATATTTTTGGGACAGTGGCCTATGATAACATTCTTTCTTAAAAAAAAAAGGACCACCTTATGGTGGGCTAGTTGTTGCTATTGAGCCAAAGCCAATTGTTGCTACTTAGCGAAGGAGATTTAATTAAACCCATTTCAAGGTAGCTATTGGCCGGCTGGGACAAGGCGTGATGGAACTGTGGTGGGAGAAGGCTTCACCTATTTCATCTCACCTCGATTTGTTTTGCCACATTTCCTAGACCCTGCATATAACGAGAGCTAATTTCACCAAACTGTCTTTTATTAAAAGAGAATGTAAATAGAGGATCTTTACACAAATAGTCGATCGAATTTAGTGTTTACTTTTCTTAGCCGATATATACAGATTATGCAGTGATTATACATGGTTATAAATATATTGTACATAAATTATACATATGCTATATGTCCATCGGCTATATTTAATTTAAATAGTTGAGTGGGCGGCTATATGAGTTAATTCTTTTTACTGAATTCGCAATACCAAAAATCCAAGTGTGATTCTCAATGGGCTAATTTAAGATCAGCCAGGCCCATGAGTTTGGAACAGGATGATCGATGCATCTTATTTTTGCAGTGATTAGAGATTCTTTAAAATATTTTTGAAATAAAATCACAATACTCTAATAATGATATTTACGAAATAATTTTACCAATGGACATATTGTTATAGTAAAACTCTTGACGCAAGAAAATTCATTACCGCAAGGCATAGAGTGAGAGATCATGAGCGTCTATATCGTAAAATTAAATTTTAATAAAATAAAAAACATATATATCGTATAAGATTTTATCATTTGTATGGCATACGTATTTAGATATATTTATAATATTACCCATTTTTCTTCTCCTTTATTGTTTGATTGTCATCTTAGAAAGAAAGGAGTAATAAGAAGGAAAATACTTTGTGTCCAAGAAGGCGAGAACAACAACAATAAACTCCAGTGAAATATTATAAGTAGAGTATGAGGAAGATAGTCTATACATAAACCTAGTCAGGGGCAGAGCTAGAGCTTCGGACGCGAGTTCGGCCTAATCCAGTAGCTTTGGTCCAAACTCTGTATTTATCTTTAAAAATTCATTCAATATGCATGAATTATTAATTTAGAATCCAATAACTTAAAAAAAATAGAATTTCGAACTCATCAACTTTAAATTCTGGCTCCACTTGTGAACCTAGTCCTTACCTTTTTCAAAGTAGAGGTATTGTTTTCTGTTTTCGATAGAGCGGACGACTCGGCATTTGTGTCTAAAGAAAGGAAATAGTAATAATAATGAAGAAGTGAAAGAAGCAAGAAACTTGTAATAATTTAGTTGGCACCGACAGCTGAAGAAATAAAAAAAATGTGCACTTGAAATACAAAGGGTGGGGAATTTTGTGGCCCAGGAGACCATAGCATATGCCTTATTTTTATGCCATAAGTTTATAATGGAAGATATACTCCTCTCCTTATGATCTGTCGGTGAAGCCTCTCCAATTTTCATAATTTATTTTCAATTTCCTTCTTACCTTTTAACCTTCTCTTGCTTTTGATTTATTCCAGTTATTCACAATAATCTTTTTAAATAATTTTAGAAAGTAAAATAGAAAATATTGATTTTAATAATTCAAATAAGGAAAAAAAAGTTGAAATTTTGAAGATAGAGTACATTTACTCAAAGTTCGACCTAGGGTTTCAAAAATGCATTTTTTGTTGAAAACATTGGTCACTTTTGCTTCTTCTTTTTTTAGCTTCTTTGGTCAAGCTTCTTTTTGATTAAAAGCACCTTTTTTGGATCATATTTTTCTTAACGTTGAAATGTTTGGCTAAACTTTTAAAAGGAAAAAGTAATTTTGAATAAAAATAAAAATAATTTTTTTAGTGCAGGAAAAAGTAGCTTTTTTGAAACACAAACGACTTTTCATCAAAAATATTTTTTTAAAAAAATAATTGTTTTAAAAAAATATTTTTTTAAAAAAGCAAAATTTAGAAGTCTATAGCATTTACCATCGTCCACATAAATTGAGTCTTGATGCGATATGTAATTTAAGATGCCACCTGTCCGGATGTCAATTGTTGTTGTCATCGATAGTATTGTTGTTATTATCAAATAAGTTGATTTCACATTTGTTTGAAAAAATAAAAATTTTGCTTTCCTTATAAGAGACTAAAATACAACTGATATAACTAACTTTAGAATCTTAATTAATTGACTAAATAATAATTTCCTAAACCAAAATCATTGCTACCAATTTTAGCACTGTCATTTTCAACTATTTGTTGATTAAACAACGACAGCACTATTTCTCCAACGTGAGAAAAAAAAACACTTTGAACTCTCCCTACCATCTCCCCCCCCCCCCCACAACCCAAACCCAACAAAGACACAAAAAAACAAGTTTTAAAAAAAATTATTTTTCTAATAATTAATTTCCTATGCATTTACTCCCACCGTTTCATGTGACTTTTAGATCTTTTTATTTTGGTTCAAAATAAATATTATTTTTACATAATCAAGAATAATTTAGTTTTGATTTTTCAAATTTATCTTTATTTACATATCTCGATATGTAGGTTTACAATATGTAAATTTTACTTAATAGTAATCTAATCAAAGTATTATTTTTCTAGAAATTAATATTTTCTTAAAAAATATGTTAAAGATAGAAAATAACTTATTATAAGACCGGGGAGTACTTACTTATTTTTTTATTCAGTAATAATTTATTGCCCATACTGTAACAGCCAATATTTTTTTTTAAATCAGTTATGGCCCCTATTATTTATTAATCCCAAAACAGCTCAAATCACCAGGCAAAAGAGGACAAGAAAACATTCTGCCACTGCAGTCTTTTATGTACTTATCCATATAGTCTATGGATAACAAAAATTTTACTAAAAGAGAAGCGAATTTTATGTGTCATTTTGTGAATCCCAAGGTAAAACAATTAAGTTAATAAATGCTAAAAACAAGTCTTAAGAACAACATCAGCAATAACAAACTGATAATGCTAAAGTACTTAAACAAAAGAATATTCATAAACAATACTTACTTTAACAACCATCTTTAGTCTAAAGTGCCTAATTATGAATTTGAGCATTCAAGATTAGCATTTTATACTAATGCTTTAATAGGTGGCTGCATATCCTTTTCCAGCACTGTAAGGCAACTTCATCCCCAAACCCAAACTCCAACCCCAATGGTACTGTTGCCTCCATCTCAAATTATTTGTCGTATTTCTCTTTTACACTTCCCTTACGACAACATTAATTATGAGAAGTTTGAATATTTTACCCTTATTCATGTCTTAAGATATAATTTCTCTTTATTGAATATTTACTCTATTTATATATCATATTTATCTTCAAGAACAATTACTACTAAGAATAAAATGGGAAAAATAACTAATTTTGTCTTGAACTTCTAAAATAACTAATACTCCATCCATCTCAAATTATCTGTGGTGTTTCTCTTTTACACGCACCTTAAGAAACGTTAATTAGTAGGAGGGTTTGACCATTTTACCCTTATTTATGTCTTATGATATAGTCTCTCTTTGTTGAATATTTATTCTATTTATGCATTATCTTCATCTTCAATAACAATTATTATTAAATGTAAGATGAGAAAATATAATTTATTTGTCTTGAACTTCTAAAATGACAAATAATGTGAGACAACTATTTTTAGAAAGCACGACAAATAATTTGAGCTAGACGGAGAGAGTAATTTGAGAAAGCTATTTTAGAAATTACGACAAATAATTTGAAACGGATGAAGTATACATATTTTATTCTGTTTAATCTCCATCAAACTAGTCTTATTCTTTAACCTAGTTTCTACATTGTTAATACAAGAAAACATTTTCATATTTAAAGTAATAATAATAATAATAATAATAATAATAATAGTAAATGAGAAAGCACTTAAAAAAGTATTACTATAAAAGTCACTTATTTAAGAGCGATTGTTTTGTCTAGAGTATCAAATTATGAGTTTGAACTTTGAACAATCAAGATTAACACTTTTATGCTAAAGTTAGTTATTAGTGGTTGGCTGCATATCCTTTTCCAACACTGTACTGCAACACCCACCTACCCCCAAACCTTACCCAACCAATTAAATTTTCAAAAGAGCAAAAGTTAATTAATAAAAAAATTTATCTCAAAGCTGAAATTTGGAATATTTTATATTTTTACTTGGTACTAAATGGATTATTTTTCAGTTTATTCTCAATTACACTGTAGCCTTATTCTTTCACCTAAACTTCCTTCTTTTCCACATTCAGTCAACACATGAAAACATTCTTTCACTATTTACATTTTACACGATAAGTTATCGTGGATAAACTTGTCAGCTAGTGATTTTTACTTACTTTTAATGCATTTCTGGTGGTACTAATATATTTCCTTTTACACAACTTTACACAGGTTCAACAGCTAGC